ACTTATTTTCTGTCTGGTTGATCTGTCCTTTGGAGTGAGTGATGTGTTGAAGTCTTCTAAAATGAATGCATTGCATTCTATTTCCTCCTTTAATTCTGTTGGTATTTGTTTCACATATGTGGGTGCTCCTGTCGTTGTGTGCATAGATATTTATAATGGTTATGTCCTCTTGTTGGACTGCCCCTTTATCATTATGTAACGTCCTTTATTCCCTGTTACTTTCTTTGTTTTGAAGTCTATTTTGTCTTCAACACCTGCTTTTTTCTCCTTGTTGTTTGCATGAAATATCTTTTTCCATCCCTTAACTTTTAGTCTGTGCATGTCTTTGGGTTTGAGGTGAGTCTCTTGTAAACAGCATATAGATGAGTCTTGCTTTTTTTATCCATTCTATTACTCATTGTCTTTTGGTTGTTGCATTCAGTTCATTTACATTTAGGGTGATTATTGATAGATACGTATTTATTGACATTGCAGGCTTTGGATTTGTGGTTATAGAAGGTTCAAGGATAGCTTCTTTACTATCTAACCGTCTAACTTAACACTCTAATTAGGCTATTATAAACAGTCTGATGATTCTTTATTTCTCTCCCTTCTTTTTCTTCCTCCTCCATTCTTTATATGTTAGGTGTTTTATTCTGTACTCTTCTGTGTTTCACTTGACTGATTTTGTGGAGAGTTGATTTTATTTTGCATTTAGTTAGTATTTGGTTGGTCTACTTTCTTTGCTGTGGTTTTATTTTCTCTGGTGACATCTATTTAGCCTTAGGAGCACTTCCATCTAGAGCAGTCCCTTTAAAACAACTGTAGAGATGGTTTGTGGGAGGTAAATTCCCTCAACTTTTGTTTACTTGGGAATTGTTTAATCCCTCCTTCAAATTTAAATGATAATCTTGCTGGATACAGTATTCTTGGTTCAAGGCCCTTCTGTTTCATTGCATTAAATATATCATGCCATTTTCTTCTGGCCTGTAGGGTTTCTGTTGAGAAGTCTGATGATAGCCTGATGGGTTTTCCTTTGTAGGTTATCTTTTTTCTCTCTATGGCTGCTTTTAAAACTCTGTCCTTGTCTTTGATCTTTGCCATTTTAATTATTATGTGTCTTGGTGTTGTCCTCCTTGGGTCCCTTGTGTTGGGAGATCTGTAGACTTCCACAGTCTGAGAGACTATTTCCTTCCCCAGATTGGGGAAGTTTTCAGCAATTATTTCTTCAAAGACATTTTCTATCCCTTTTTCTCTCTTCTTCTTCTTCTGGTACCCCTGTAATGCGAATATTGTTCCATTTGGATTGGTCACACCGTTGTCTTAATATTTTCATTCCTAGAGATCCTTTTATCTCTCTCTGCCTCAGCTTCTCTGTATTCCTGTTCTCTGATTTCTTTTGTATTAACAGTCTCTTGCACCTCATCCAGTCTGTTCTTAAATCCTTCCATTGTTTGTTTCATTTCTGTTATCTCCCTCCGGAATTCATCCTTTAGCTCTTGCATATTTCTCTGTAAGCTCCATCAGCATGCTTATGACTTTTATTTTAAATTCTTTTTCAGGAAGATTGTGATTTCGGTCTCACCAGGCCCTCTCTCTGCTGTTTGAGGGATTTTGGACTAAACAAGGTTCTTCTGCCTTTACATGGCAATGGAAGTGACCGCCGGCGAGTGGCACATGTATCTACTGGGAGAACAAATCCCTTCCTGCTTGCTGGTCACCTTGCCCAACTCCGCTGCATGTGCCAGTCAACTGCATAGAGGGAGCAGCCTCTGGGTTGATCCCCTAAGCTGCCGTAGGCAGGGTGGTCCTTGGGATGGCCTAGGACACTGGTGGGGATCGCAGGTGAGCGGTGTGTGTCCTCCCGCGAGAATGGAGCCTCTTCGTGCTTTTGGGACTCCATGCCAGTCTCTGCTGCTTGTGCCGGGCAACTGTACACAGGGAGCAGCCTCTGGGTTGATCCCCTAAGCTTCCATAGGAAGGGCAGCCCTCGGGATGTCCTAGGGCACTGGCAGTGGTTGCAGGCAATCAGCACTTGTTCACTGCAAGAACAGAGCCCCTACATGCTTTCCGGACCCTGCACCAGCTTCTTCTGCCAATGCCAGTCGGCCATGCACAGGGGGCAGCCTCTGGCTTATCCGCTGTGCTGCCATGGGTGGGGCGGCCCTTGGGATGGCCTAGGTCACTGGTGGGAGTTGCAGGTGAGCAGGATGTGTTCACTGCTAGAATAAAGCCCCTGTGTGCCCTTCTGGACTCTGTGCCGGTCTCTGCTGTGTTGGTTGACTGTGGGCAGGGGGCAGCATCTGGGTCTGGCCCAGTCAGCCACGTGCTCTGGGAGAAGCCTCTGTGTGGCTGCTGTGGGCGGGGTTGCTCCCCGGTTGCTCTGCAGCAATGGCAGGTCAGCTGGTTCGCTTGCAGTGCTGGTGTGTGTGGGGGGGTATGAATGGCAGGTTCCTTATCGCTGTGAGGGGCTTCATTGCTACATTGCCACCCAGGGGATTAGGGTGCCTGAAGTTCCTTAAAGTTCCCAGCCTGCTGGGCTGAGCATGCCAGGACAATTTTATCCACCTGTTAAACCCTTGTCTCTTTTAAGGCTTTTAAAGCACCCACTTTTCTATTGTCCAGGGTAGCCAGCTGTGGGGACCTGTTCTCAGTCTTAGTCTTGGATTTTGCTTTTCTGTTCCTCTAATATCTGGTAGACCATGCAATGTGTGTCTGTGTTCGTGGTGCAAATTACTAGGACTGGTCATTGAGCAATCCTGTGCTTCCACTCCTTCCCCACTCTGATTTTCCTCCTGCTGGTGAGCTGGGGTAGGGGGAGTGCTTGGGACCCACTGGGTCATGGCTTTGAATCTTACCCTTTTTGTGAGATGATGAGTTCCTGCAGATGTAGATGTAGCCTGGCTGGGGTACTGTATCTTCTGGTTACTCTCTTAGGAATAGTTGTATTTGCTGTATTTTCAAAGTATATATGGTTTTGGGAGTAGATTTCTGCCACCCTACTCATGCCGCCATCTTGAGAACCTCCCTGATTAAGTATTTCAGCAGAGAATTTCCATAAGCTTTTGTTTCTGCCTATTATAAATTTTTGAGAAACACCTGTCTTATTAAAAGTGAATATAGAATAAAATATCAATGCTGTGGTATGATTATAGACTTTTTAGCCTGCTCAGAAGCTCTTTGAGGGCAATGGCTACAACTTCCTCACATCTGAATCATCAAGTGTCTTCCAAACTGCCTTGGGCATAGCAGGGCCAAAATAAATGTCTGTGGAATGACCCACCTGTATAAGCACTTTAGGGATTAGCATTAGCTATTTGCATGAAACAATTCTTGTCTGCCGAAAAAGCCAGGGTTCATGATACATATGTGCTTGTGTGTATGATTATGATAATGATTCCTACTTTAGAGAGGGGCAGTTGAGGTCAGGTGACTTTAAGATTGCTAATCTAGGAAGTGACAGAGTCAAAACTCAAATCTAGGTCTTCTGACCTTGCACATGCTCTTCTCATATTTTAACATTCCAGAAGAAAGGGAATGACAGTAGGATGAGTATAGATTGGCACAGAAAAGCATGAGACCAAGAGCCAGGGGATCTGCCAAGGGTTCTCATCCATATGCTACTGTTGATTCAGTGGGTAATTTGGACAAAGCACTGCTTCTGTCTGGATCTTGCTTATCAAGAGAAGGGTTTGAACTGGAGAATCTCTAAGGTCTTTTAAAGCTAACTCCAGAATAATAATTACTAAAAAAGAAACTGAGGGTATTATCATGACATTCGAGGGCTTTCCAAATCTGGTCCTTGCACATCTATAGTTCCCCCCCCCCCTCCACATAGAGGAGTCTTCCACCACTCTCAATCCTTCTACGTTCTTACAGCGACATGTCCTTATATCTCTGTGCCTCTGCCATGGTCTACTCTGCCTAGAATGCCCAACTCTTCCTCTGTATACTTAAAGGGTGCTTCCAACTTCTCCCTCGAGTCTCTATTGCTGGGCCCTCTGTGAAGGCTCCAGTACACTGTGAAACCCAGGCAAAGTGTTCTTCCCTCCGCCACTTGCTCTCCTCTTATATGTATACCTTTTACTATACTCACCACACTGTACAGCTGTGAACTTGTTTATATGCTGGCTCCCAGGTGGATTGTAAACTACCTCAGAGAAAGATGGTATCCTTTCTTTTTTTCTATTCTAGTATGGCATTCAACAGATAAATTCTTGTTGAGTAAATGAAGAGAAACTTCTACGAGGCAGGCAAACATTTCTCAGAGAGGTGAGGTAACTTGTCCAAGGCCTCACAACTACTGAGTTGAATAATCAGGATCCAAACCCAGGGCTGTCTAACTGCGGAGCCCCATGTTCTTCCTCCTCCCCAAGTTTAAGCAGCCGACACAGGGGGTAAGATGAGACCTCTGCACTAGCCCAAAGGAGAACTAATTTTTTTCAACATTGTTAAACCTATTTCAACATTTATCCAAGGAGTGCTGGTTTTATTTTTCAAAAACAAGTACCTTGCCTCAGTTTGAAAGCCAGCTCTTTATACTCTGGTGGCAAGTCTCTCATTTATCCTCTGGTGGCAAGTCTCTCACTCTCTTCCAAATCCACAACCAGGAAGTCTGCTGTGTTTGTGTGTGTCTGTGTCTGTGTCTGTGTGTCTGTGTGTATGCATATGTCTCAATGGCAGCCTCAGGAGAAGCCAAGCAAAGAATAGATTTGGACATTGTTTGTGAGATCAGAGAAAGTTCTGTGAGGAGGATGCATGTTTCAGATATTCCAGCAGAGGAGAGATGGGCCAATCTGAAGTCCCAAGGAGAAGGTAAGAGATTCCATTCCCACCCCAACCCTGAGTTCCCAGATGGGACTCCCAGGAGAAACCTGGATAGTTTGGACAGGCTCAGCCCAGACATTAAGGACAGGGAAAGGCCGGCAGGTGGGTTTGTTTTTCCAAATAGAGCCCCATCTCCCACCTCACTCACCACTGCTATGTTCTCCTTACCTGGAGCATAACTGGGGCTATTGGTGGGGTACAGGCTGGGATTATAGGCAGGGGCCGCTGCCGGGTAGGCTGTGGGGTAACCTATGAAGAGACAAAAAAAGCCCTATTTAGTTGGGAACGAAGTAAAGAAGATTTCTGAAGAACCAGAATCCAAGTCCAAGGTCTGGCCTTCAATCTCTTCTTGGGTCATTTCAGACATTTATGTGTGACCAGCTTTTAGCCCCTCAAGAAAAGTCAACAAGACCACAATACCACCACATGCAGATTTTTCTATTTTTTAAAAGCAGTAGAAGAAATATATGTCTATATGTTCATTTTTAAAAAGACTGAAACATTATAGAAGTGTATAGGGTAAAAATTTAAGTTTACTCTCACATTCCTGCCACAACAGTACTCTCCTCCTTAGAGGAGTAACACTTTGGCATCTATCCTTTCAAATAATTTTCTGTGCATTTTTATAGACATTATTCAGTGGTGTACTGGTAAATATTTAAAAATGGCTCAAGGGAATTGAGGTGGGAGTCCCATTTGTAGCATTTGCCAAATTCCATAGTATGAATACTCCCACTAGAGCTGATTTTAAGCTATCAAGATCACTAAATGAGTAGTTGGGAAGAGATGTTCATAATGGGCCCTACAGGGCCCATACAAGCCAGATCCATCCCACTGCCTTATTTATATATGGTGTTTTTTTTCTTAGAAATTTTTAATTGTAACAAAAAAAATATATATCATAAAATTTGTGATTTTAACCATTTTGTGTCCCATTCAGTGGCATTATATTCACAATGTGTGTAACCATCCCCACTATCTGTTTCAAAAACTTTTTCATCACCCCAAACAGAAATACTGTGCCCATTAAGCAATAACACCCATTTTCCCTCTCCCTGGAGCCCATTACTTCTAACACTTTGCATCTCTATGAATTTGCCCATTCTAGATATTTTATGTAATTGGAATCAGATACTATTTATCCTTTTGTGTCTGGCTTTTTTCACTTAGCATAATGCTTTCAAGGTTCATTCATGTTTTAGAATGTATCAAAATTTCATTTTTTATGGCTAAATAATATTTCATCATCTACATATACCATGTTTTGTTTATCCATTCATCTGCTGATGGACACTTGGGTTGTTTACACCTTTTGGGCATGGAAAATAATGCTGCTATGAACACTGGCATACAAGTACCTGTTTGAGTCCCTTTTTCAATTCTTTTGGACATATATTTAGGAGTAGAATTGCTGAGTCATAAGTAAATTACATGTTAGGCTTCATGAGGAACTACCAAACAGTTTTTCATACTGGCTCCACCATTTTACATTCCTACCAGCAATGCATGAGGGCTCCTATTTTTCCACATCCTTACCAATACTTTATATTTATTTATTATTAATGTATCATTGACATACAATCTTATGATGGTTTCACATACACAACATAGTGGTTCAACATTCACCCATATTATCAAGTCCTCACCCCCTCCATTGTGGTCACTGACTTTCAGCGTAGTAAGATGGTATAGAGTCATTACTTGTCTTCTCCGTGCTGTACCGCCTTCCCAGTGACCAGTGATTGTGCTGTACCTACCTTCCCAGTGATTACGAATTACAGTGCCCCTTGATTCCCCTCTCCCTGCCACCCACCCTCACCAACCCCTCCCCTTTGGTAACCACTAGTCCCTTCTCGGTGTCTATGAGTCTACTGCTTTTTTTGTTCCTTCAGTTTTGCTTTCTTATTTTATTTATTTTCTTTTTTTCTTTTATTTCGGTATCACTAATCTACAATTACATGAGGAACATTATGTTTACTAGACTCCCCCCATCACCAAGTCCCCCCAACAAACCCCATTACAGTCACTGTCTATAAGCATAGTAAGATGCTGTAGAATCACTACATGTCTTCTCTGCATTGCACAGCCCTACTCATGCATGCCCCCCACATTATACATGCTAATATATGTGTATGTGAAATCATCATAATATCCCCTTTCTTCCCCCCACCCTTATCCCTCCCTTCCCACCCATCCTCCCAGTCCCTTTCCCTTTGGTAACTGTTAGTCCATTCTTGGGCTCTGTGATTCTGCTGCTGTTTTGTTCCTTCAGTTTTTCTTTGTTCTTATACTCCACATATGAGTGAAATAATTTGGTACTTGTCTTTCTCCGCTTGGCTTATTTCACTGAGCATAATACCCTCTAGCTCCATCCATGTTGTTGCAAATGGTAGGATTTGTTTTCTTCTTATGGCTGAATAATATTCCATTGTGTATAGGTACCACCTCTTCTTTATCCATTCATCTACTGATGAGGACACTTAGGTTGCTTTCACTTCTTGGCTATTGTAAACAGTGCTGCGATAAACATATGGTGCATATGTCTTTTTCAAACTGCACTACTGCATTCTTAGGGTAAATTCCTAGAAGTGGAATTCCTGGGTCAAATGGTATGTCTCTTTTGAGCATTTTGAGGAACCTCCATACTGCTTTCCACAATGGTTGAACTAGTTTACATTCCCACCAGCAGTGTAGGAGGGTTCCCCTTTCTCCACAACCTCGCCAACATTTGTTGCTGTTTGTCTTTTGGATGGTGGCGATCCTTACTGGTGTGAGGTGATATCTCATTGCGGTTTTAATTTGCATTTCTCTGATGACTAGCAATGTGGAGCATCTTCTCATGTGTATGTTGACCATCTGAATTTCTTCTTTGGAGAACTATCTGTTCAGCTCCTCTGCACATTTTTTAACTGGATTATTTGCTTTCTGATTGTTGAGGTGCATGAGCTCCTTACATATTTTGGATGTGAATCCTTTATCGGATACGTCATTTATGAATATATTGTCCCATACTGTAGGATGCCTTTTTGTTCTACTGATGGTGTCCTTTGCTGTACAGAAGCTTTTCAGCTTGATATAGTCCCACTTGTTCATTTTTGCTTTTCTTTCCCTTGCCCAGGGAGATATGTTCATGAAGAAGTTGCTCATGTTTATGTCCAAGAGATTTTTGCCTATGTTTTTTTCTAAGAGTTTTATGGTTTCATGACTGACATTCAGGTCTTTGATCCATTTCAAATTGACTTTTGCATATGAGGTTAGACAGTGATCCAGTTTCTTTCTCTTACATGTAGCTTTCCAGTTTTGCCAACACCAGCTGTTGAAGAGGCTATCATTTCCCCAGTGTATGTCCATGGCTCCTTTATCATATATTAATTGACCATATATGTTTGGGTTAATATCTGGACTCTCTATTCTGTTCTACTGGACTGTGGCTCTGTTCTTGTGCTGGTACCAAATTGTCTTGATTACTGTGCCTTTGTAGTACAGCTTGAAGTTGGGAAGTGAGATGTCCCCTGCTTTATTCTTCCTTCGCAGGATTGCTTTGGCTGTTAGGGGTCTTTGGTGGTTCCATATGAATTTTAAAACTATTTGTTTCAGTTTGTTGAAGAATGTTGTTGGTAGTTTGATAGGCATTGCGTCAAATCTATAGATTGCTTTAAGCAGGATGGCCATTCTGACAATATTAATTCTTCCTAGCCAAGAGCATGGAATGAATTTCCATTTGTTAGTGCCCTTTTTAATTTCTCTTAAGAGTGTTTTGTAGTTTTCAGGGTATAGGTCTTTCACTTCCTTGGTTAGGCTTATTCCTAGGTATTTTATTCTTTTAGATGCTATTGTGAATGGAATTGTTTTCCTAATTTCCCTTTCTGTTAGTTTATCGTTAGTGTATAGGAAGGCAACAGATTTCTGTGTATTAATTTTGTATCCTGCAACTTTGCTGAATTCAGACATTAGTTGTAGTATTTTGGGAATGCAGTCTTTAGGGTTTTCTTATGTACAATATCATGTCATCTGCAAATAGTGACAGTTTGACTTCTTATTTACCAATCTGGATGCCTTGTATTTCTTTGTTTTGCCTGACTGCTGTGGCCAGGACCTCCAGTACTATGTTGAATAACAGTGGGGAGAGTGGGTATCCCTGTCTTGTTCCTGATCTCAGAGGAAAAGCTTTCAGCTTCTTGCTGTTAAGTATGATGTTGGCAGTGGGTTTGTCATAAATGGCCTTTATTATGTTGAGATACTTGTCCTCTATACCCATTTTGTTGAGAGTTTTTATCATGAATGGATGTTGATTTTTGTTGAATGCTTTTTTCAGCATCTATGGAAATGATCATGTGGTTTTTGTCTTTCTTTTTGTTGATGTGGTGTATGATGTTGATAGATTTTTTAATGTTGTACAATCCTTGCATCCCTGAGATGAATCCCACTTGATCATGGTGTGCGATCCTCTTGATGCATTTTTTAATGTAGTTTGCTAATATTTTATTGAGTATTTTTGCATCTACGTTCATCAGGGATATTGGTCTGTAATTTTCTTTTTTGGTGGGGTCTTTGCCTGGTTTTGGTATTAGAGTGATGCTGGCTTCATAGAATGAGTTTGGAGTATTCCCTCTTCTTCTATTTTCTGGAAAACTTTAAGGAGAATGGGTATTATGTCTTCTCTATATGTCTGATAAATTTCAGCGGTGAATCCATCTTGCACAGGGGTTTTGTTCTTGGGTAGTTTTTTTATTGCCAATTCAATTTCATTGCTGGTAATTGGTCTGTTTAGATTTTCTGTTGCTTCCTTGGTCAGTCTTGGAAGGTTTTATTTTTCTAGAAAGTTGTCTGTTTCTTCTACATTTTCCAGCTTGTTAGCATATAGATTTTCATAGCATATAGATTTTCATAGTATTCTCTAATAATTTTTCGTATTTCTGTGGGGTCCGTTGTGATTTTTCCTTTCTCATTTCTGATTCTGTTGATGTGTGTAGATTCTCTTTTTCCCTTAATAAGTCTGGCTGGGGGCCTATTTTGTTTATTTCTTCAAAGAACGAGCTCTTGGTTTCAGTGATTTTTTTCTATTGTTTTATTCTTCTCAATTTTATTTATTTCTTCTCTGATCTTTATTATGTTCCTCCTTCTGCTGACTTTGGGCCTCATTTGTTCTTCTTTTTCCAGTTTCAATAATTGTGACTTTAGACTATTCATTTGGGATTGTTCTTCCTTCTTTAAGTAGGCCTGGATTGCTATATACTTTCCTCTTAGAA